ATTTATTCTTTATTGGCCAGCTGCTCAACTCGAGTCACCCTGTTGCCGTCACTAGTTGCGTAGTGTTGGATTGCAGCCTTCGATCGGCAACTCATACCAACGCTCAAGCTTGTTGCTTGCTGTCGCAGTTGTTGCTTGCTGTCTGGTGTCCTGGTTCAAACAAGTCCTGCACAAACACACACACATGCACATATATACACACGCACATGCAGAGCTATACATAAACAGCTGCATTTGCTCTATGCTGGCAAACACGCACACAGCCATAAAGACACATAAACACGAACATGCGGCGTTTGAAGTAGGTTTTGTTGTTGTTGTTGTTGTTGTTGTTGTTGTTGTTGTTGCTGTTGTTGCTGTTGCTGTTGCTGTTGCTGTTGCTGTTGCTGTTGCTGTTGCTGCCGCTGCCGCAACGTCCTCTGTACAGTTGTTGTTCCAATTAAAAAATTTTTTCCCTAGTTTCGCGCGTACAATGCGAACTTGCAATCTATGAGCCATGCAACAGCAGCAACAGCAACAGCAACAGCAGCAGCGACGGCAGCAGCGGCTAGAGCGACGAGCGAATACTTTCTGGTTTTATTTCGCTGTGCTCGTTTCTGTGTGAAGCCTGGACCTTGTGGGCGTAACATCATGTGTGTGTGTGTGTGTGAGTTCTATATCCTTGCTGGCATTGCACTGGCTGTTGTGGGATTTTTGGTACAATTTGCCTTCTTATTTCACTTTTTTGCCAGCAGCTTTTCTAAAGAGCTGCGAGGGACAGAAAGAGACAGTGATAGCGAGAGAGAAGGAGGGTGGGTGGGCAATAGTGGGAGGAGGGTGGAGAGGGGAGAGAGCGGAGCGTCACGGTTCCTAGCTGTGCCACTGTTTCTCATCCTCATCCTGTTCCTGTTCTATATGTCAGTTGATTTCATTTCACTTTTTTTCGCCAAACTATTAGTTGAGCTCTTGCAAATGTGTTTGTGTGTATGTCTATATGGGTGTGTGTGTGTGTGCGTGTAATTTCTGCTGCCAGTGCTTTTTCGGCCATGCAGTCTGCAGTTGTTGCTGTTGGTAGAAGCCTTTTGACGGCAGCGAAATGTGAATACGCGCCGGGCATAAGGATTTAGCTTTGGCGCTGCACAAAAAGGCAAGCAAAACCTTGACAGTTGCATTGTGGCATGGAAATTGGGAACAGGCAAATGTCGGTGGGAGGGCGGTAGGTCGTTGGGAACCTTTGCTTATTTGCATTGCGTAATGGAAAATCATCGTGGTACGCAACCCTTATCCTAATGCTTATCCTGGCCGAGGAACACTGACCTGTCCTACACACCGAAAATCACACAAGGTAAACACAGAAGGCATACACACAGCGAGAGAGAGAAGGAAAGAGAAAGAGAGAGAGAGAGAGTAAGAGTTACGTACGCTGGCTAAGAAACTGCTCGTTGAGTTACATCTGCACAAACAGAAGACGCAGCCGTCGTCGTAGGTAAGGGGCGTGCAACTGCAACGTCTGCTGCTGCTGCTGCTGCTGGCGTCGTATTGGTCTGTGGCATTGCCTTTGACTTTGCCACTTTGCCGTTTGATTGCGCGGCAGCGGTGAGCGAAACTTTGGCCGGGCTGCAAGAAGTTGTGCGTGCCACAAAGTTACTTAAGCGATTCGAATGTACATATGTCTGTGTGAGTGTATGTGTGTGTATGTGTGTGTGCGTGTCCTTTGTCAGGCAACAAAGGACATTCACATTGCAGCAGCAGCAGCAGTAGCAGCAACGCAAACAACAACTACGATAAAGTATCTGACAGTTGCAGCTACGTGTTTGAAAAATGAAAGAAATGCGCGCGCGTTTCGCAAAAATGCAAAATAAAGAGGAAGCACAGCAGGCGACAGCTTTAAAGTTCGCAAGGTCGAACATTGAATACCTTTTATCAGAAAACAACAAAAAATTGAACTTGATCTAACTTTTAGCTGTATTATAGTTAAAGTCTAGCAGCTGAAGACTCTTGCTTACATTGCCATAGCCCTACTTTATTTATTCAAGCTTCGAATAGCGAATGGGCTCGTTTTAGTGAGGGTATAAACAGCAGGCGATGGCAACAACTTTACCGCAAGCAGCAAGACACAGCAGCAAAAGTTCTGACAGTGTTGCCGTGCCTGATAACTGTRGCTGAAGCTGAAGCTGAAACTGAAGTGGAAGTTGGAGTTGAAGTTGAATGCACGCGAGTCATGCCCTGGCATCGCCATCAAGGACCCATCCGGTGTGTGTGTGTGTCCTGCGAAAAGAAGTAGCCGAGGAGATAGCGAGGAGAGAGAGAGAGAGAGTGGGAAAGGGAGAGAGAGCGCGAGATCTTTCAGCTATGAAAGTGCGGCAAATGCGCGTAATACGAGCAACACAAGCCAAATGCATTAACAGCAAACAGCCAACAGCAACAGCAACAGCAGCACATACATATATATATTTATATATACACACAAGTATATTCTCATATATATTTTTTATTTGTTCCATTACAGCCCTGCTGCTGCTATTGTTGTTGTTGTCGTTGTTGTTGCTGCAGTTGTTGTTGCTGTCGTACGAGTTTTGAGTTTTCCGAAATCATGAAAGGAGCAGATGTTAAATTTTTATACACAACGCAGCGGCTGCCTTCGCTGCCCGCGTCGACTGCGCAGTTGCTGTCGCTGCTGCTGTTGCTGCATTATTACCCGCTGCTGCTGTGGTTGTTGTTGTTGCTGTTGCTGCTTCTGCTTCCTTTGCTCTGTGAGCTCGTTTCGAGGCAGCCGCAGCACTTTTTGCTTTGCCACAAAACTTCAGCTGCTCCGCGTTGGACTTGGACTTGGCTCTAGACTACAACAGAGCGCGGAGAGCGAAGAGCAGAGAGCAGAACTTCTGCAGCTTATGTTGTTCAGCACTCAGAGTTTTGGCTTAGATTTACTTGATGTTCTAGCAGTTGTTGGTATATTTGTGTTGAGCAGATTTCTCAAATATCTTTCAACGTTTCAGTTTAATTGTCGCAATTGCTGGCTTCGTCGCATCCCTTCTGCCCGTTCAGCCATTACCTGATTTGTCAATGTCCTGTCGTCCTTATACCCGACCTTTACCTGGCTGGGCACGACGCTCCGCTGCGTATTGGAACAATAGTTTTTCATTTCGTGATGCTAATCATTGCTAAAACTCACTGCGCACGCACACACAGACACATACACGAACATCATCTCATTTCAAATTAACCCTCATGCACACACACATACACATACACACACATACTTTCACACTACCACACATATTTATGAAGGCAACGCACAGTGGGTGGGTATGTCCGACTGCATTGTGCCCAGAACAGGTAAGCGAATTCGAATCTATCGAGGCTATTGCACCTTGTGTCCACATTGTGCTGCCATCAAACCCCATTGCGAAACTATAGGGTATATATAGTTATATGTGACAATAATATTACAATATAGATGGTTTACATTTAATTGGTATCGCTTTCTTTATGTTTATTAAGCAATTTACTTGAATTGCATATTCTTTTAATTTCTAATTTATGTCATGTTTTGATGTCATTGCATAGAAAAGTTACATACTTACACACATACTTAAAGCAAACTTAGCCTGCTCACGCTGTAGATAGTCGCATGTTATTCTGTCTGTTAGATACATTTTTACATAATATTTTATATACTAAAAAATCATATTAAATTAAGCTGTACAGTTATATATTGATATCTGTATTTATTCTTGCATTGTTAGTTGATAGATATAGTTCAATGAAATCCGGTTACTAAGAGTTCCAAGGGACCGTCGTTATAACGATAGACGCTATAACCATATAAGTTTACTCATATAAGCGGAGTCGGTTATAACGACGGATTCTACTGTATTTCAGTTATTTTATTAGACTCAAGCTCATTTATTTGTTGTTAAGTATACACGTTAAATATATACATATTTAAAGTGAACTATACTGTCATTATTACATTACGAAATTTTACTCACGACCAAGCCAATTGAGTTGCTGACATTGGACTCATTTGATGTGCTAGCTATTTTCCATAGATCTTTAGACTTCGAGTGCGTACGGGATGGCTTTAAGTAAAAAATACACAGATACTTCTGCCGCCGTCCGCTTTCACCCAGTCCCCGCTCTCCAGCCCTTTTCCATCCTGACAGGCATCAATCGATGCATGTTGCCAGCTCTTCCACTGCTCTTCCGACTGCAGTAGGAATGAGCCAACGATAGGGATTGGGATTGCGATTCCGTTTTGCGCGTGACACCTGATGATATTTTACGATTATTGTTTTTGGATTTATGAAATGTAATTCCAATTGCAGCAGGTGTTCTCATTTAGTTATTGTTGTGTTTATCTTTGTTGTTGTAGCTGTTCTTGTTGCTGTTGCACACATTTTGTTATTTTGCAATCATTATTAAATTGCTGCAGACCGAAAATTCCATTAAATGGAAAACCGCATAACGAAATTGCTGCATGCCCAAGGCTCAATCAACTAATGGTTGATTAGAACTCGGGCTCCATGTAGTTTATTCAACGATATGAGACACTCAAAAAATAACTGTTATGCTAACATATATAATAGAAAGACAAATTTATTAAGTGTTGTGAAAATATAAATTGAAATATCTCTACAAATAAAATAGATTAGGTCAGAAATTGCGAATGGCAAATTCCAATATTTATGAGAATAAATTGTGACTTTGTAGGTTTCACCTTACCCTATTCATTGTTATTATTTATGAAAAAATAATTGAAATAAGCGCAGTTTTTATTAGTACTTTAAAATTTTTATTCTTATTGAGTTTTGTTATATAAGGATAACTTTTTTCTTAGTTTTTATATACAAACCATTTATGTAGATCATCCGAGTCATACAAGATTTTCATTTTGAAAATGTTTTTAATTATTTTGTTTGTTTATTGAAAATTAATTCCATTAGTTTGCCTTTGCTTTGATTTTACTAATTTTTTGTTTTTAAATTAAATGTAAAACTACACTAAATGCATGTGTGTGTGCTTGGGCGTGTGTGTGGGTGTGCATATGACATTGTGCATGTGTGTGTGCTTGTTTAAAATTTAATTATCAATTATTTGCTGCAAAAATCGTGTTCATATCGAATTTCAATACTCGATACAGTGAATGGCTACTCGGATGTGTGAATAGGACTCGCTCTGTCGCTCTCTCTGTCGCTGTTGTTGCTATCTCTGTCGTCGTTGTGCGTCTGGCTCCTGCTACGTAGTACGTACGTGGCTGCCTAATTGGCGGCTATAGTGCAGACACAGCAACTGGGAAACCAGAACGTGTCCGTGTAGAGATTTTGGCCGTTGCCCTGAAGCGCTATTAAACGTTTTTGTACAAACTTCTGCTCGCACCTGGAATTGTAGCCATTGGGCAGATCGCACAGGTTCGAGCATGTGTTTGAGCTGAAAGAGATAGATAGATTGAGGGAGAAGGGAATTATATAACAGCGGAAACAGCGCCAAATGCCAAACAGACAAAAAATAAACAACTTTACGAAATTTAGCTGCGAGCTGCACCCATAAATATGCCCAAGAAGGCGAAGAATAACATAAAGTGAAGAGGAAGAGGAAGGGGAAGGGGAAGAGGCGGTAGCGCCGGCTGCAAAGTTGAAAGTTTAACGAACTTGTTAAAACGGGAATCGTGCGTAATTGATAAAGAGTTGAGCTAAGGCTAAAGCAACGGTACTTAGAGACTGTGTCCCTGCCAGCTGTTGCTGCTGCTGCTCCTGCTGCGCCTGTTGCTGCATCGTCCGACGATTTACGTTCAGCTACATATTTGGTTAAGCAAATTGTGTGCTAAGTGCTGCTCTCACATGTGGGAAAGGGTCAGGGAACGGGGCGGGGTGTGAGCATAGGGCATGCGAGTGCGTGCATCTAGGCGACAAATGACAAACAGGGGCAGTTGCTCTCACACATTCGCTCATCCTGCGTCCCCTCAGCTGGTCTCTTTGCACTGGCTGCAGCTACTCGAATTGTTCCTCATCCGAGGTCTCTCGTCACCCTATATTTACCTCTGTTTGCGCTTTTTTCCGAAGGTTTTCGAGTAGCGCACGCATAAAACAGAGGCAGTTGCCCCTGGTCGAGGGGGACACGAATAACGAGGAACGAGGAACGAGGAATGAGCAACGAGAACACCGACCGCTGGTTGGTTAATCTTGGCATTTTTTCGGGGTGTTATAATTCGTTTAGCTGCAATTATGACACAAAACCCAAACGTAACCGTGCACATACCCATGCTCGTGGGTTACTTGCTGCTGCACTTCTGCCCACGTGCCCAAGCATAGGCTTCCCCTAACAACCAGTCCGGTCTGGCCAAACGAAAAGGGGAACACTTATTGATATGGAACGCTGTCCTGCTGTGTGTTTGTGTCTAGCCCGGAGCGAGAGGGGCCCTAAGCACTGATTGCAAGTGTTGAGTGGGTTTTTTTAATTCATTAATTGAAAGCAACAGTACAAGTCAATAGGCGTAAACATTATATAAACGATTAATCTCAGATCACACGGTAGTTACCCTTACGTATGTCTACTATATATTTATATAAAATAACTAATTAACGTGTTTGATCAAAATGTATTTTAGACAAGTAAGTAAGCTCTAGTTGGCAGCTAACTATCGAGAAACTCAATATGTATATAAATATAGAAGTATATAAATATATCCATATATAATATTTACTCTATTGAATATCATTTTATAAAAGTGACTGCTTGTTTACAATTTGGAATAGCTCGGCACATTTGCCTGAGATTCGTGAAAGCCCATATGACAAATATTGGGACAATAACTTTGATAATATACTTGATATAAATTTGTAGCTAATGCACAAAATGGGAAAAGTTACAGATTGTTGGAAAGAAACAAACAAACTACGCGTGCAAAACGACAAGGCTCTAACTCTTCAAGAATACTACGGAATACAGAAAGGCGGACTGAGCTTGTCTCCGTGAACTGGAATATACACTTGAATATATACTTGAAGGGATCTGACAAGTCTGCTGCTGTCTGCTACATATATTTAAGTAAATCATTTTATGTTCTGAATTCCGATTTTCAATACTGCCAGTTTTAAACAACTATTGGACGCAAGTAGACCTTAACCAAGCAGTGCACAATCAATGTAAAGTAGTTCTAAAATGGTGAACTGCTTGCGGTTCAAAAAGCAGTTCTTACATTTAGCATAAACACAAACCACAAACGCATTGGGAAAAGATACGAAAATACGCATGTAAAGACGACACCTAATTCGATCTGTTTAGCAATTGATTGAACTTTGCTATATTAGAGTTAATGTGCGATTAGGTACTTACGCACAAAGCTCCGCCTTGACCATCTGACGTGCGGTGTTCTCCTCGTTGACGACAAACATCCAATTGCCCCGGGAATTGAGAGCAGCTTGCGGTGTTATGAACTGCGATGTCGTTTCGCAAAGTGTGGAACGCGACGGACTTTGTCGTTTGATTCGCGATTTTTCATTATTTTTTGTATTGCTGTTGTTGTCGCTGACGCCCACAATATCTAAGAGATCCATGTTGAGCGATACATCACGCATGCTGCGTTTATGCTGCTCCTCCCGCTCCTCCTGCTGATCCTGCTTCCGCTCTACCTCCTGCTGTTCGCTCGCCTCCTTTGCCATTTTCACGGCCTGCTCCTTAAGCTGCTGCATCTCTGATTGCTCTGCCTGAATGGCCTTCTGCTTAACACTCAAGTCGCGCACGATACGCTTCAACCAGAGCGTCGCATTGTAGGGCGTCTTGCCATTGCTGTAGTACAAATGCCTCGTTCCAGTGCCGGATCCAGACTGTCCGCCGTGTTGCTGACCGCCCGTGCGAAAGCCCCCACGATTGGCCGACGAGGTGTACAGTAGGTACCTGCAGTGGAAAAGAGAGTTAGGATCGTTTGGGGAGCTGCAGCAGCTACTCACGTGGGCGCATCTGTTGTGGGGTTGGATGCGAAGAGAGAATTGCCTGCACCGCGCTGTGGCACACCGCCAAAGGGCGTCTGATAGCTGTAGCCGTTGAAATCTTGCCCGTTAGCAAACTCGCGCTGCGGAAAGATGGACTTCGGATCGTAGAACACGGGCGTGTCCGACCAGGCAACGGCCGAGAATTCCTCCCAGGTCTCGTCGACCAGCAAAGAGGCCGCCTCGTAGCCCCACTTGCGTACGAGACTCTTAATGAGATATCTGCAAAGGCGAGACACAATGAGAGTGAAGCTGAAGTTGTTACCCGAGTGATGTAAGAGATTGTTTCGAGTAGATTTCGCCGTGATGCCCCCTCCCATCCCATTCCATTCCATCCCTTGACATGGGAATGGGCTGCGAAAGTGGAATACCTTGCCACTTGTCGACATCGCCCAATTGGCTTGCGCAACAAGCTGACGAGCAGACAGCGGGAGTTGCGGACAGACAAACACCCGAAAGCGTGCCACGCCCCTACTCACTGCTGTTAAATCATAATTAATATTGCAGCCAGACAATGGGTTAGGCTAAATAGTATTATTCACTTATATTCACGTCGACTGCACCGCATGCGTGTCACGTGCCACAATATGTGTCACATGAAAAGGTGAAAACGGGCTGTGGCTTTTCCCCACTCGAAGTGTTTTTCTGTTTTCGTTGTTATTATTTTTCAGAATTATGCAACATCCGAATTCCGTAGGCCTCATAAAATGACTACTTAATTGCTGAGACGGCGCCAAATGGCGGCCTCACTCGGGGTCTGTCTTATCATTGTCATTGTCATTAGCATTAACATTACTATTATCATTATTAGTATCAATATCATTGCGTGCAGGGGCAGCAACTCACTCACATTTTATTCAAATCGAAGAAATTATCTAAAAATAGCCAAACAAATGGAAGAGCAGGCAGAAATTCAAATCAACTAACAATCCATATAAATGAGCATATGAAATAAAAATTTGAGTCCAAACCTAACGAAGTTCAAACACTCTTAATTGCCATAGACCATGTTGGCTTTTAGTATGCTCTTTTCTGTATTGTAAACAAAATGCTTATTAGATTTATAATTATATATATATGTATTTTTTTCTTTTCTGTAAAATTAATTTCTTTTATCGTTTTTTTTTTCAATAAAAAAAATGAGATCATTTAAGGACGAGTATTTCGAAAAGATTCGGCTTAAATATTATTAAATATATAAATTATTCATAATTAGCAACTCTCTAAATGAGATCTATTAAAACTGTAAACATTTTCTTTAGAAGTTTTAGAAAAGCGAATCAATTACCTTTCTTAAAGGGATATATGTTATAGATATTTTAAGAATATTAATAATGATAATAACAATAGGTATCATAAATTGTTGATGATGTTGATTCCAAAATTGTGTTTTATTTTGCGCAAAATCTTTTCTTTTTCAAGAACTGTACTGCATGAATGACTATGAAACTCTCATATTTCAATTAGTTTCTTGAGGCTGACAAATCATGTTATGTAATTAGAACAGCAGATAACTATATAAATATGGAAAAATATTTGTCAGCTGTTAGGACTTAATCGAAACACATATAGAAAAATAAATTCCTTGCTGATAATCAACTACTGTAAAGTAGTTTGAAATGGAAACTTGGATTCTGTTGCCGATCAGTCATATCGCATAGCCATGATACCTCACACACTATACTATTATATACATGCTTAATTATTCAAAGAGGCATTCATAAATATTCGAGAAGCACGCGGCGCGTCGTCACAGACAAAGTGTCTTGAACTGTCAATTCAAGTTTATTGGGTCAAGGAGCTCCGCCAGCTGGTCGAGTCGAGCAGCAACAGCCACAGGCTAGAAACAGATCCACCAGAGAGAGAGAGGGGGAGAAGACAGCAGCCAGAGCATCTTCGAGTTTGCGTTGTCGTCGCGGAACTATCAACTAGCAGCTAGCAACTGTCGGCTAACAGGTCTCTAGGTATACGTCTATAAGTGTATATGGGTTTATGGGTATATGAGTTTATTGGTATACGGGCATATGGGCATACGAGTATTCAGAGTAGATACGCGTGTGGTATATGCAAAAACGAGTTTCTGGTTTCTGTGCGAGATCGTTTGAATTCGATTTGAAGCGGGCAGTGAGTGTGTGTGTGTTGGGCAAACATTTGTTTGAAATGCATTTGCATGTGATTTTGTTTGCTGGCAACCGATTCTGTGTGACTTTGAAGAGCGGACATCAAGCGTGTTATTTATGTGGGCCATTTGGCTCGCTCAACTTACGTGGGATAGTTATCGACGTGCTCGCAGTAGGTTTTGCCGGGCCTGGCGCAGCTGTAGCAGAGAAGAAACAGAATTAATTGAATAATTTATATTTACTAAGATATACAGATAGAGTGAGTGAACTTACTTGGGTGTCTGTCCCGGCGGCGCTGGCAGGAATTGGCAAGGCGGCGCGCCGTATAGGCCGCATGAGGGGGGCGTGCTGATCGCTGCTGAGATACAAGCTAATATCTGAAAGAGGCGTGTGGCTCAGACCGGGTGCCGGCGACTGTGAATGAATGCATTGTGAATACTCACCACATGGGATAGGAGAATACCCCCATAACTACTAGAAGTGCGGAGACCGAGACGGAGACTGATACGTTTAATACTCTTTGTCATTGTCAATTCATTCGTCGTTGGGCTTTGCGTCGGCGATTTGCATTTGTATTTGCGATTCCGTTGCCTAAGATACACAAAGAGTTGATTTCAATTGAGTCGAATGTGTTTGGGCAGCGACGTGATGCGTGATGTCAGTTTTGCCCGATGAGCTGAAAGTGCCCAAAGAGTGTCCGCAATGATCGCTAGAGAAATTGCAATAAATCACCTAATTATGCATGTACGATTCGATTATGCCGAATAAACATAAATAGTTTTGTGTTTTATTGATAGAAGCTGCGGATTTATGTGATGTCATTTTATATAATTAAAAAAATTTGATATTAAATATATATATCGAATATCAAATACATTCTTCCGTAAATACATAAATTATGGGAAACTCCAATATCAATTAGTATAATTGAAAGATCTTAGATTTTAAGCTATCCAGGGACCCGATTCAAGTAAACTTGGAACTTGAATTATTTTCAAATTATATAACATATTTAATATTTTAATTAGTTCACATAGATCATTAAGATATTGTTTTTATAATATTCTAATAATTGCAGCTTACGGAATCGTTTAAAATTGTGCCCTTTATAAAGTCCACTGGCTAATTTCCTCAGAACTTCAACTGACCAATGAAGAGATAATAAGAACACAATCCTAGACTACGCCACAGAGAAAGGCTTGTAAGAGTCAAGAGCACTCTCACCGGATCGTTTACATCAATGTTCAGTTCAATAATTAAACATCTAAGAGGCTGCAGTTGAGACGTCTGAACCCTTGACAGATCTGATATTCTCATCATCCAACGATTATCTTATGCATACACAATAAACAATACAAGTACGCAAAGGCAAACGCTCTGCTCCCTAAGTAAGCTCCCTATTTTTTTAAACAAACTCGATCTGCGAACTGCCAGTTCATCCTATCCGTCTGGTTAGATTCTTATAAGGAATTTATAAGAGATAGAGACTATATGGTATTTATAGGTCCCAGTATAGTACACCTATAAAAACCATACAGTCTCTATCTTTTATAAGTTCGGAGATCGAAGCGGATGGATGGAATGGACGGACAGGGCTAAATCGACGCAGTTTATCTACCTTATACGGTTTTATTTAAGATATTTATATATGTGTATATACTTCACTACTATTATTAGTACCCAGCAACTGGCAAACAAAAATTATGCTATATGAAGACCAGTAGAAAATTTACAAAGTGAGAAAGAAATAATTTTTTTTTATAATATTTGATGGGTCATATCGGAATATAACTTCCCTTCAACATTGTTTTGCAAACAAAGTCGAATAGTTTCCACACATTTTACTTGTCCAAATAGTCAGGCACTTAACAATTTGCTCAAGCGCTAATTACGTTCAAGCTGACATGTGGACTGTGGTGGGAGATGGAGGGGGTAGGGGTGGTAGGCCTAAGCCTAAGGTTCAGTTGAGTTCAAGCCGAAGTTGAGGCAAGCAACCCACAAAGCAATAAGCACTAAGTAAATTGCGAAAAATTGCTAAAAGTGAAAGCGATGTCGAAACGTTGCGACCCGAGCCGCGGGCCACCTGTGGCCTCTCAGCCCAAGACTCCGTTTGATCAAGTGCCAGCGCATTAGACAATGCCAACAGCCACGCCCACCATTAGCGATTGCAATTGTAATTGATGTTGGCTGCTCGACACCTAATCGACGTGGGCGTTGCAATCAGAATCATAATTGACGGCCTCCTGTCGGCTAATCTCAATAGTTATAAATTGATCTAGATGCCGAAACTATACGATAATTAACAATTATGGATGAAATTTAATGACATTTGAATGATAATGCGAAAATCTTTAACTAAATGGGGCCTCAATGTTATTTCAAGCATTCATTATGGAGCTCAACTTGAGTGCGCCCGTATCAACTATTCATACCAAATTAATTTTCCAATCGCAGTCAAATCGTTCTGTAGATAGGTGTTAATTATAGATGCGATAGTAGTTTAAACAAACGTAAAAAATCCAGTTCATAGTCGAAAGCACTTCATTACTTGATTAATACTTCTCTTTATCAATCAACTTTCAAGATTCGCTTTGAAGACTCCAGTATCTCAGGAACTAAGCGGGAGTTGACTTTGGAATGTAAATTCGGATTAACTTAAGCTGAAAAATATGTGGTGAATATATATGGTTCTATGCTCATTGCGGACATATCAAATCGGGTAAAGCTTGATGTACAGATTTAAAGTTATAAGCTAAAAATTTAACACTAAATTTATTTGCAAAAATATACTATGCATTGGAGGCGTGGCAAATCCGAGAATAGATCTTGTAATGCCAACTACAACGTTATTATCTTGAAAGTATGTACTCTTTGTCGAATTTAGATACAATAATTATTATTCCAAACTTCGTCTTGTTACATGTCTGCCTGCACCGGCTTTTTGAAAGCTTTATACATATAGCATATATCTTGAAATATTATCTAAGTTGTAAATAGTATTTAAGTTTAATCTCAACTTGGTGGGACGACTTTCAAACAATAATTGCTTTATTATTATGCAGAGTGATACAAAAAATATCTGTATACTTCCTTCATCTGGGAAAAGTTAAAAAAAAAAAAAAAACGAATATTCTGAAGTTTTCTATCGTGCTATTTCTACACGATAGCAAACTTCGGAATATTCGTTTTTTTCCGAAATTTCGTAAGACCGACTTCATAATACTATTAAATATATTTCAAGCTTGTTTCGGATTTGCAAAGGCTTTATAATATACAATATACAATATAGACCACATATAGTTGATAATTTTGCCTTAACGAAAGCTGTATCCAATTTATTTATATTTGACGATTTTATTTTTTACATTATAATGAACTTAACTTCAAATATACCTATATTACAATTTAACTAACGTTAACTATTTATAGGTTGAATCTGAATTCCGGTGAATCTGATTTATTTTTAAAACATTAGATATCTGTAATTAAATTATTATTATGAATTTTGGGCATTTTCCCACTAGGGGTTGCATGTTAAGGAAAACAAAATAATCAATTACAGATCTGATCAGAGCACGTTATGGAACAACAAAATAGCAACAGTAATATTAATAGCCATAAAACGAATAAAACGAAAAATGTAACTCACAATTTGAGGTATAGAAACAACCGTTACTAAATCAACGGCTACCGCAAATAAAATGATAATCATAATGTGTATAAATTCATAAAAGCTGAAAAGCTGTTCAAATCGAGAGCAAAGCACACACAATACAACACAATCGAACAGCATTTGAATGCCATAAACCGGATTCGTGACCAGCGTATCTCCCAGTACCTGGTGTCATACATAGTTTCATTAAAACATACACACACACGCACACACTAACACTCTGCTCTACAATTAGAATTAGACAAGAAAATTAATTGGAATTAAGTCGTGTCATTGCGTTTCAATGGAATGTGTTCAATAGAACTGGTTCTCGAACAGTGGGCACCTGCCGTGCAGCCGTGCTAGGATTTCCGGGATCGGCTGTCACTTTCGATTTCATAAATCAATCAACATTGGCACACACACACACACGCATACACACACAAAAGCCTAGAGTCAGACATCACAACAAAAGCCCATAAAACTCAATGCGCAAATGAGCTTGGCAGCAGCGGCATTTGGGCTCTTTGCCATTTAGGCCATTTAGCAACATTGTCGCCATCATCGGCAACTGCTAATGGAGCTGGCTCGACGCTTCACTCTCCCGCGCTCCGCTCTCCGCTCTGCAGTCTCCAGTCTCAGGTCTAGAGTCTTTGCATTAGTACATAGTTACGCCCACGTTTATGGTATTTCCCCATGTTGCGCAGGCGCCGCGCAACACGGCCAATTCGTCAGCTCATAAATCATAAAAACAGTTTTCGTTTGTTATTTTTCTGGCTGCTGTTCAAAATGGTTTATGGCTTATTGGGCATTTGGCCATTTGCACGACATTAACTCACATGGCCAAAATGCATTCAAATGACCGAGAAAACATTTTCGCTGACAATTAGCCGATTGCGAATCGCTCAATTGTCAAAGTCGTTCAGCTTTGTTGCAATGTGTTTGAAATTGCTTTCAATAAATTTATTATTGCTAACTAATTAAAATAAAATATTTGGCCAGTTTACGATTCAGTTAATTGATCTCTATTATATGTATGTCTGTATATATGCAGAATCGAATACAATTAATATTTATTGATTAGTTTCTTTCAACTTGAGTCTAGGCATCGGTTGACAACTCTATCAAGAATCTGTATATTCGCCTTAAAAAACATTGTTTCAAAAATTTGAATTTGTCAATATACAGCAAATCGAGGAAGCTATTGAACAAAAGACAGAGTTCCTCTGTGCATGATAAAAGACTTAGTTTAATTTGAATTTCAATTCAAAGTTTTTTTTTATGGTTTTCAAGATTCACACATTGAAAAGCAGCCAAAGCAGAGACTAAAGCCGCACAGATTGACTGAGTCAGTGATGCCAGCTTAGGTAGAAGATATTTTGCATCTGCATTAGAAGTAAGAAGCAACAAATATTAAATGAATGGGCTATATTTAAAATAAAGAAATTTTTGGAATAGTCTTACAATATATTTCTTTTATTTTATTTTTATGAAAGGATTCGGAAGGTATTATATATAATCTGAACGTAATGGGATATCAGGATTTGAATAGAGCACAAACAAATACAAGCATAGCTACAGCATATTCGCTCAACAGACCTATATACCTAGCCTAATTCATTCGCTAAACTGTGAGTTAGTCAAACAAATCAAAAAATGCTCTCAATAAAAACCACATAAAACTCAGGAAAAAAACACACGCGATTAATTGCTGACGTCTTTATGCCCTTGTAGAGGGAAATCTGAAGCTCTGCTTGTCTCTTTTGTCAATCTGAAGATCTTTTGATGACGAACATCACTCAATTTTTGACATAGTCAAATCAGTGCAACCGTATTTTGGGTGCATTTACGACATATTTGGGTTTGAGTCCAGTCCCACGCCCACAGCTCGCTCCGTCGTGATTTTGAAATTCAACTTAATTTGTTTTGCTTTCACCCATCAATTTAGATCTTAATAAAACTGATTTAGCTTCATTTGACACTAATTTGGCAGCGTTTCAGCGGAGGTGCTACCCGAGTAGTTGGGAGAGACAATGGAGTGATATAGAGACCACATACTAAGTAGCAAATACCAAATACCGAAAACCAAATACCGAATACCGAATATCAGATACCAATACTAAAAGATCGCTTCATTATAATTTTTTAAGCATATATTTTATACTTGAGTATAACTGAGAAATTAAGCACGACTTTTCAAGGCTGTTGATAGTTTTTTTTTTTTTTTTTTTTTTTTTTTTTTTTTTTTTTTTTTTTGGG